TCTCTCCACAGCATATTCCTTCTCCCATACACCCAGACCCACTGGCAGAGATGGTGGCACTGATCTCCTGCTCTCTCCCAAATGGAGCTTTTCCCTCTTCAAGCTACCTAACTTCACTCCGTCCACCTTTGAATTCCATGCCGTCACAGTAACCCATCCTATACAATTAACCATTGTTGTTCTCTACCGTCCACCAGGCGCCTTGGGGGACTTCTTGGAGAAATTAGATAATCTCCTCTCACACATCCCTGAAACTGGCCCTCCCGCTGTACTTCTTGGAGACTTCAACCTCCAGACAGGGAAGATAGACAAACTAACATCTCTGTTAACCGCCTTTGCTTTCTCACTGTCTCCTTCCCCACTAACTCATAAAGCTGGCAATGTCCTTGATATCATATTCTCAAGGAACTGCGCTACTTCTAACCTCTCTGTAAACCTGCTCCACACATCCGATCACTTCTTCATTTCATTCTCTCTACCCCTTTCCAAACATAACAAACTAATCTCTTCTCATCCTGCACCTGACCGCCGTAACCTTCGTTCCCTCTCCCCCTCTACCTTTGCCTCATCGGTGCTCTCAGCCCTCCCTTCCTCTGACTCGTTCCAACTGCTGCCTCCAAACTCTGCTGCCGTGACGACCTCCTAACCTATCAGGCTCTCCTCTCCTCTTTCTCTGCTTCGATCTCTCAGGCAAAAAGCACTTTCTTTCAAGATAAGATCCAATCTTCCTATTCCAATCCCAAAAAACTATTTTCCATCTTCTCCACCCTCCTCACTTCTGTCAAGCGACTTTGTTTTCCACTTTGAAAAAAAGGTTGATGATATTCGCTCTTCTTTTTCTGACTCACCTTTACTCACCGCTGGGTCACCAGACCCTCCTTCCACCAACACACTAACATCCTTTTCCCCTCTCTCTCCAAGTGAGGTTCTTACCCTCATTACCTCTGCCCGCCCTACCACCTGTCCTCTGGACCCGATCCCTTCAAACCTCCTTCAGACTATCGCTCCTGATATTCTACCGTTTCTCTCCCATTTCATCAACACTTCTCTAACTTCTGGTCACTTTCCAAACAGTCTCAAGGAGGCAAGAGTAAACCCTCTCCTAAAGAAACCCACTCTCAACCCGTCTGATGTTATAAACTATAGGCCTGTCTCTCTCCTGCCGTTCCTGTCTAAAACACTTGAACGCGCTGTCTTTAAACAACTCTCCTGTTATCTCCATCAGAACAACCTTCTGGATCCGCACCAGTCTGGTTTCAAGGCAGGTCACTCCACAGAAACTGCTCTCATTGCTGTCACTGAGGAACTGCACACTGCCAAAGCAGCATCCCTCTCCTCTGTCATCATCCTGTTGGACCTGTCTGCTGCATTCGATATGGTGAACCATCAGATCCTCCTTCGCACTCTCCAAAAACTTGGAGTTTCAGGCTCTGACCCAAGTTCCCATCAGCAAAAACACGTGGGTTTGCTATCCTGGCTCCAACATGGTGGAATGAGCTCCCCATTGACATCAGAACAGCAGAAAGCCTGCACATCTTCCGGCGCAGACTGAAAACTCATCTCTTTCGACTCCACTTCGAGCGATATAATTATTAACAAAGCACTTATATACTAATAAAGGACTGGCTTATCTATAGCCAGTTGAGTAGCACTTGAAATGTTTGGTTCTATGAAACATGATGTACTTATATGATTCTGTTTTCTTCAAGGTTGTGTCTTCCTGGTCGAATGTACTTATTGTAAGTCGCTTTGGATAAAAGCGTCAGCTAAATGCAATGTAATGAAACCCACAGCCACAGGTTCTCTGCTGCGGTCAACAAGGCTATTGAGCGGATTCTGCCCTGCCTGTTGATGTACGCCACTGTGGTGCGGTTGTCGCTCCTTACTAGCACATGTTTGCCCTGTATTAAGGGTTTGAAGTGCTGTAGGACCAACATCACTGGTTGCTGTGCCGCACCTCTGCCAGAGGCTAGCAACCACCCACAGCTCTCTCTAGGCACGTCCCCCCCCATCCTGTCACTGAAGCGTCTGTGAAGACTGTGATATAGGAGGTTACCTGCGCCAGTGAAGCTCCCCTCCGCAGATTATCTGGGGATCCCCAGAATCAGAGGTTGCTCTCTACTGAGGGGGGGATGGTCACCAGACGCCGTTTGTGTCTTTTGAGATCTAAACGAAGGCCGATACACCACCTCTGCATGCGACGTGCATGCAGGAGTACGAGTGGCACTACGGAGTGAGCAGCCGTCATGAGACCCAAAGTCTGCATGATGGTCAAAGCTGTCACCGTCGCCTCCTGACGCAGCCTGCAGACCGCCCGTAACAGGGACGCCTGTCTGCTTTCTGTCAGGGTGGCCCGTAGCCTGCCTGCATCGAGCATCACCCCCAGATATTCTACCTGCTGGTGAGGTATGGGGGAGCTGTTCTTCCAATTGATCAAAACCTTAGTTAGGTGAAGGATCAACTGGGCTGTGTGAAACATTGCCCATTCCCTGGACCTGGCCATGCCTATGAGGTCGTCCAGATAAAAGAACACCCTCATGCCATGGTCGCGCAGCGGTTGCAGCACCGTGGCCACACATTCGCTGAACATGCGTGGGGATAGGGAGTAGCCGAATGGCAGTCTGTTGTACTCGTAGGCTTCCCCCTGGAAGGCAAAACGCAAATACACTCTGTGTTTTGGAGCAATTTCAACATGAAAGTAAGCATCCTTCAGGTCGATGGTTGTAAACCAATTGCCTGGCTGCACCAGTCCCAGTAACTGTTTCATAGTCAACATATGGAACTTTTTGCATGCAATGTGCCGGTTCAGGCCTCGAAGATCCAGAATGGGCCTGAATTCTCCTGTTTTCTTGGGAACCAGAAAGTACAGGGAATAGTGCCCCTTCTCTCTGTTTTGGGAGTGCACAACAGACAGCGCCTGTTTCTGCAACAGGGCCGGAACCTCTGCTGAGAGGAAACCTCTTGGGATGAAAGATGTGCCTCTCTTATGCCTCTGAATGAAGGAGGGACGCTGCAAAACTGGAGTGAATAACCCAGTCTCAGTGTCCTATCCATCCACTCTGTTAACACACAACTGATTTTCCATTCCCCATAACACTGTGTTAGGGGAGCTGCATAGCTGCAGCTATGAAGCTGTGATACTCTCTGGTGGCCCACTCCGCCGTCAAAAACCCTCCATAAAAGGAAGTTTGACCCATGGGGGCCTGACACAGAAAGGGCCGTTTTTCAATAATGCTGTTTTCACTCTGAGAAAAAAACGACCGATATTCCACTGAGGTCCCTGAACGCGGTCCTCTGCTGACGCAGGACCGGGACAGGGGCTCTGCGGGATCACCCAGCCTGGCCTCGTGGGGCCCTCTGGTACCGCCGCGCATAACTGGGCGGGTGAGCAGGAGAGGCAGCGGGAGCTATGGGTGCTCCGGCCCTACGCCTGTCTCTCGTCCTCATTGTCGGCCCAAGCTCGCCCCGCTGATGGAGAGCCAGCGGCAGCATCCGGCTGAGCTGCTCTCTCTCCTCCTCCAAGCGGTGAAAGAGCTGTGTTACCGCGGTAACGGACCCAAAGAGCCCTGCCGTGGATATGGGGGCTCCCAGGAGATCGTCACGGTCCGATCTTGCCAGTGCCGTGAGTCCCAACCACACAAGGCATGACCCCACTGTGGCTAGGGACATCACGCGGCCAGCTGATGCCACCACACCGTTAACCAGATTATTAATCTGTCCGATGCAGCGGTCCGCATAATTGCCCGGGTCGTCCTGTGACGAGGAGGCGGAAGCTTCCTGTTGAGGGGTAATTAAGGATGCCCCCAACACGCCCAGATTGTTGGCCGCCGCGGCCATCTGTGCCCCGAGGCGGAATATCCTATCCAGGTACTCTAACGCCTCACGGTCACGAGGCAGCGGGGGCAGGGGTCTTCTCCCCTCCGCCCAACCTACTGCCTGGGGAAGAAGATGGGCCGCCAGGCTCTCATCCAGGGGGGGCACACCGGGACACATAGAGTCCGAGAGGCCCTGCACCCTCAGCAGGCAACCGAAGCCCTCGCTATCAGGGGTTGCCGCCATGTCGCCTCCACACACTGCCATATGTCCGGCAGCGGGGGCGAGACAAAAGCTGGCTGGGCCGGCTGGACCGGGCCATAAAACCCCTGACGGAGTCGGCTCACCGGTCTGGGTGGTAGCGGAGGAGGAAGCATCAGGCCCACACACTCCGCTGCCATGGCCATCACCAGCGGGAAATCTTGGCGAACAGATCGGCGTGGTGGACCCTCGTGGCCAGAAGCGCCCGATAGTGAGAAGTCCTCGTCTTCTTCCTCGTCTGCAAATGGGGCAGCGCGGCCCGTTGGAAGGGCGAAGACAAATGGCACCTCTCCGTCCACCTCGTGGTCCATCTCCACCACCTCCACTTGGTCCTGAGAATCGTCCTCAGGTACGGCATATTGTGCCTGCCGGAAATGGACCAGGCGATGCTGCCGTCGGAGCCGCGGGAGCGCCCGACAGGCACTGCAGGTCGGGGAATGTCCGCCACCCTCCATGGCGTGGTCGGCCCCCAGACATTCAAAGCAAAACTGATGTGGATCCGCGCCCGCAATCAAACCAGGGCAGGTGGGGCATGCACGAGCTTCCAATAACGGTGAGTCTATTTTCATTCTAATCTTCGTTCGTTTAACTCTCATTCGGCTGTCAGCACGTCTGAAGAGAAAAAGGATAGTGGGCGGGGGGGGTAGCTGCCTTATATACTGTGGGCCTGCGCGCGCATTCAGGTAGGCTCGCCCCGATTGGCCGGCTACGTTTACGTAATTCAGTAGGTGAAAGCACGCACAGCATGATAGAGAGTAGTACCCATATAGTCCAGTAGAGAGCGGAGCCTGTGTGAAATATAACCTTATAATACAGAAAATAATAAATCGTTTATTAATTAATTTTGTTAGAAAGTCACTGGTAAAAAAACTGAGAGAAAACCATTCCATAACAATTACCTTTGCTGTCCTGTTTACCCTTTCCAGACCTCCACGCAGTTGGCTTGAAGAAGGGGATGTTTTTCAATCCCGACCCCTACCTGAAACTTTCGATCCAGCCTGGAAAGCACAGCATCTTCCCCTTGCTGCCACACCATGGCCAGGAGAAACGCTCTGGAGTGGTCTGCAACACAGTCAACCCACAATGGAGCAATGAGGTACATACACATACAGGGTGGTACACACTCATGTACATTTCAACTTAATTATCTGTAGCCATACTGTTTCCTGTATCATATGTGTATTTCACTGTGCTAAATGCAATCCTCTGTGAGGCTTTACAGCAACTTAAAGGTAGTTGCTATCATTAAGCAAGAGCAGAGCAGTTTCAATATGAATAAGGTAAAACATTTCAGTATAAAAAGGGAAGGCTAGGTTTCGGTTTGGGTGCAAGACGGAGGTTAGAAACATGTTTCTGTGTGTTCTGTAGTCTAAAGATAAGGATTATCTCAAATTTAGAAAGATTAATAATAGACAGCAAGCACGGTTAATTATTTTTACTCTGCTTAGTTGAATACTCGATTCTTATAGGTCAATATGGACATTCAGTCTGCTCTTTCTGAACAGCAGACCGCTGATAGGGATAGCAGACCATTGCTTAGGACACTTTGATTGTGATGAGGAACCATGTGCAGTCAAATCAATCTGCAGAAAGTAGTACACTCAATTTGCTTTGGCAAAACAAATTAGTTTTCCATTTCTTTATGCAGTTTCCTTTCAAGAACTGATATTTTAATATAAAATCAGTGGTACAGATATTAAATTACTGGAACAATAAGATGCAGCTTATAAGTGTGGATAAAACGAATTAAAACAAAGGGAGTATTGTGTGCTTTTCCTGTTTCAGAAGTAGAGTATGAGGATGATTGTAATTCATGAAAATCATGTCAACTCTGTGGCAAATACAATTAAAAGTTGATCATGATTTAATTTCCTCCTTTAATGACTTATTGGACGTCTGTCCTATTAGTGTCCTTCTTTCATGTGTTATCTAGTTTCAATCCTCAGGTGAAGATGCAACCAATGCAGTCATTGGTTCAAATAAACCGCTTGTACATTGGCTGTTGTAGAATATTCTCAAGCAGTGGCGGCGCCAGAGTATTTTTGTTGGGTAATCTATGGTAGGGCTGACCCATACAGTGGTGGGGCTCAAGTCAGTATTTGCAATGTAATTACATACATAATAATAATAATAATAATAATAATACATTCCATTTATAAAGCGCTTTTCCTGGTGCTCAAAGCGCTTACAAGCAAGTAAAACAAAATAACAACAAAAGTAGAAAGTGCTAAGCTAGGAGGAATACGGGCAAGGGGTTAGTTGATTAGGAGTTGAAGGCAAGAGTGAAAAGGTGAGTTTTGAGGGATTGTTTGAATGATGTGAGAGTTTTGGCGGATCTGACGTGGCTGGGGAGGGAGTTCCAGAGTGTGGGGGAGGCTGCTGCGAAGGCCCTGTCACCCCAGGTCCGGAGCTTTGTCCTGATGGGCTGCAGTAGGTTAGCTTCAGCAGACCTGAGGCGACGGGTGGGGTTGTGTCGTTGGATGAGGTCACAGAGGTAGGGGGGGGCAAGGTTGTTGAGGGCTTTGAAAGTGAAAAGTAATATTTAAAGTCAATGCGGTGTTTGATGGGGAGCCAGTGGAGGTGATGGAGGATAGGGGTGATGTGGTCGGAGGGTCGGGTGGAGGTGAGCAAGCGGGCAGCTGAGTTTTGGACATATTGAAGTTTTTTTAGTGTGAATGCAGGTGATCCAAAAGGTATGCTGTTGCAGTAATCCAGTCGGGATGTTATAAAGGCATGGATCAGAGTTTCAGCAGCGGTCGATGAGAGGGAGGGTCTAATGCGGGCGATGTTCTTTAAATGGAAGAATGCTGTTTTTGTGACCTGGTTGACGTGAGGGAGGAAAGTGAGGGTGGGGTCGGGGATGATGCCAAGGTTACGGATGTGAGTGGAGGGGTTGACAATGGAGCCATCGATGGTAAAATAAAAATCTTGGGTTGAGCGGGTAAGTGAGTTTGGGCCAATGATTATAAGTTCCGATTTGTCACAGTTAAGTTTTAGAAAATTGTTTTGCATCCAAATTGTAATGTCAGTGAGGCAGGTGCTGAGCTGGGAGTGTGTGGTTGGAGAAATTGATTTTGTTGAGAGGTAGAGCTGCGTGTCATCAGCATAACAGTGGAACTGGAGTTGGTGTTGACGGAGGATTTGTCCAATTGGGAGGATGTAGATGATGAACAGAAGGGGACCAAGTACAGAGCCCTGAGGGACGCCATGATTGACAGGGGCTATGGGGGATTTGGAGTTGTTAATGGAGATGAATTGATGTCTGTCAGAGAGATAGGATTTAAACCAGGAGAGGGCAGTACCGGTAATGCCAATGGAAGACTGGAGGCAGTTGATGAGGATGGAATGGTTAATCGTGTCAAATGCGGCTGTTAGGTCAAGGAGAATGAGAATTGAGAGGGAACCAGAGTCAGCAGAGAGGAGAATGTCGTTGGTCACTTTGAGTAGGGCAGATTCTGTGCTGTGGCGAGTACGGAAACCAGATTGAAAAGGTTCATGAAGGTTATTGCAGTCCAGATGGGATTTTAGTTGGGGGGCAACAGTTCGCTCCAGCATTTTTGACAGGAATGGGATGTTAGAGATGGGCCGGTAGTTATTGAGGGAATCAGGGTTGAAACCAGGTTTTTTGATTATGGGAGTGACAGCAGCGAGTTTCAGATCAGGGGGGATGAGTCCAGTGGACAGAGAGGAGTTAATGACTGTGGTGATAAGATGAGTGAGTTGGGGGAGGCAGGCCTTGACAAGGGTGGAGGGCATGGGGTCCAGGATGGAAGTTGAGGTATTCATGCCGGTGACTTGGGCAACTATGTCCAGTGAGGTAATTTGTCTTAAGGCTGTAAAAGGGTGCCTGGAAGGAGGAGGGTAGGCAGGTTCCGGAAAAGGATGGGTGGTGGACGAGACGGAGGAGTTGGCTATGTTGCTGTGTATTATTTCAATTTTGCTTTGGAGGAATGATTCACACTTTGAGGTGGTGAAGGAGTTTGAGATATTATCCATGGGGTTGAGGAGCTTGTTATAGTTGAAAAAAGGGACTTTGGGTTATTGCTGCCAGATTGTATTACAGAGGAGTAGTGGAAGGAGCATGCACTGTTGAGGGCATCTTTGTACTGCTGTTGGTGCAGTCTATAAATGTCTTTGTGGATAGTGAGACCAGTTCGTTTAGCATGTCTTTCGAGCTGGCGACCTTTCGTTTTGAGGCAATGGAGATGATCGGTGTACCAGTGTCACGATCTGTCTGTGTTGTGTTTTGTCTTGTCTTTTTCTGTCTTTGGTTTCCTGTTTTATTTTTAAAAGTGTTCACCTCCAGTTTTGCCTGTTGCTTTCTGTCTGTTTTCCCTCCCTGATTACCCGATTGTGTTCACCTGGTGCCCCTGTGTTTTCTCCTCCCTCCTCAACCGGCCTCTTGTTTGTTTGATTAGTCATGTGTGCATTTAGGTTCTGTGTTTTCTGTTAGTCTTTGTTAGTTCCTTGTTGTTGTTGGACTGTGTTCACTGAGAAGAGTTCTGTCTTCAAACCTTGAAATAAAGGTATTAGATATTTTCTGTTAATCTGCATTTGGGTCCTGCTTGCCTCTCTCAACCCTGACAGAAGGAACTAACAAAGGATGGGCCCAGCAGATCCGTTTGAGTTGGAATTACTCAGTTTGTCCTTTTCTTTGGCTGGCTGTTCTGATAAGTGGAGGGGAGCATCTGGAGTTCAGCAGCGAGAGGCTGCTCTGGCTGAGGCACACCAGATGGCTATGGAGAAGCCAGATTTTGTGAAATTCTTACCTGGCTGGATTTTGGATTTCCTCTCGGTGTGTTATCCCCTGCCTGCTAGCCCCAGCCATGCTGGCTCCCTGCCTCCCAATTCCCAGTATGACACCACACGCATCGGTGTGTTCCGTCTGGAGTCAACCCTTGCTTCTGCCCCAGTTCCTGCTCCTGTCCAAGAGTCGTTCTCTGGAACTCGTCTGGCTTTTGGAGGTCCACGGAGCCTCCAAAAGGCTCCTAAGAGAAGAAGTTGCAGGTCCAGGCTTAGTCCTGGCCCCAGCAGCCATGGTTCCAGCCCCAGTTCTGGCCCCAGCTGCCATGGTTCCGGCCCCAGTTCTGGCCCCAGCAGCCATGGTTCCAGCCCCAGTTCTGGCCCCAGCAGCCATGGTTCCGGCCCCAGTTCTGGCCCCAGCAGCCATGGTTCCAGGCTCAGTCCTGGCCCCAGCAGCCATGGTTTCGACTCCAGCCCCTCGTCTCTGGCCGACGCAAGCTCCCCGTGTCCTGTCGGCGTACCGGCCGACGCCAGCTCCTCGTGCCCTGTCGGCATTTCGGCCGAATCCAGCCCCCCGTATTCTGTTGGCGAACCGACCGTCTCAAGTGTCCTCAAGTTCCTTCTCAAGTCCCCTCTCAAGCTATTTCTCCAGCTCCCTCTCGAGTCCCCTTTCAAGACACTTTTCAAGTTCCCTCTCAAGTTCCCTCTCGAGTTCCCTCTCGAGTCCCCTCTCAAGTCACCCCTCCAGTTCCCTCTCGAATCCCCTCTCGAGTCACCTCTCAAGTATCCTCTCCAGTTCCCTCTCAAGTCTCCTCTCGAGTTCCCTCTCGAGTACCCTCTCGAGTCCCCTTTCAAGTCATCTCTCAAGTCTCCTCTCGAGTTACCTCTCGAGTCCCCTTTCAAGACACTTCTCAAGTCCCCTCTCGAGTCACCTCTCAAGTCATCTCTCGAGTGACCTCTCAAGTCACCTCTCAAGTCTCCCCTCGAGTTCCCTCTCAAGTCACCTCTCGGGTCTCCTCTCGAGGCTCGTCTCGAGTTCCCTCTCCAGTCTCAACCCTATGTCCCGTGCCGTTGGAGGCCCTGCCGACGATTATTCTGCCGGGGGTCCTGCCAACCCTATGTCCTGTGCCGTTGGAGGCCCCGCCGACTACTCTCCTGCCGGGGGTCCTGCCAACCCTGTGTCCTGTCCCGTTGGGGGTCCCGCCGACTACTCTTCTGCCGGGGGTCCTGCCAACCCTATGTCCTGTGCCGTTGGAGGTTCCGCTGGGGGTCCTGCCAGCTCCATGTCCAGTCCCGTTGGAGGTCCCTGCGACTACTCTCCTGCCGGGGTTCCTGCCAATCCCATGTCCTGTC